TAACGTGCAGGTTTTGTTTCTTTTCCTTCTCAGAAAATCTTAATTTGGAAGGAAAATCATAATTATATGGTAGGGAGGAGGATGTCTTCCAGGCTGCAAACTTAAACTGGTGGTAATCATTAGCTACCATGTATGACATGGCGTATATAATTAAGAAATAAATTTATTACAGAAACTTGGAATTATCAATTAAAAAGTAGTCAGTGCAGTCCCACAAGGTCCGATATGATTACCTACGTTATCTGAACTGTCACTTCCAATGCTGGTTTGAATCTCAAAGACCTCTGAGGGGTGCTCTGCATGTCAAGTTAAATAAGTGAGACAACCTTAGTGGAAAAATGCAATGATACAAGCGGGTGCAAACACAACCCTTCTAGAGGAGAATAAAGATGTCAGCTTCAACTCGAATATTATTGGCAAACTGTTCTTCCTTCCGACTGTACTTCTGAATGGACTGACAGGACCGTTCAATTTGTGGCTCTGCCACAGTCTGTTTGATGGGCTAGGGGGGGCAGAACCTCGGGGGCACTGAAGGACGCTCCAGCCTGTTACATTTTTTTTCTTACTTATTACCTTTGCAGACTTTGATTTTTCCTCCTTCAGAGATTCTTCAAGTTTAAGGCCAGAAGAGACAGTTAAATTATCTAGTCTGACCCTGTATATATGCCAGGCCATTAAGCCACACTCACAGATCCATCCTCTGTGAACCCTTCTTTTCTTTAAGCTACCTGTCATAACACTGATTATGGGGCAGTAAATCAGTGTAAAAAAATAAAGAGCTCCTCCCACCAGCCTTTCTCTCCAAAATCCCAACTCCAGCAAAATGATTCTGTTGCTCACTCTGAAAGGAATGAAAAATTTGGCATTCTCTGATGAATCAGATTTTGTTTCTTGTGCTGAGTGTCTCACATCTCTATTGCTTTGGGCTCCAGCTTGGACTAGAAAGAAAATGAACAGAAAATGTCATCTTATCATATTTTCGACCTGATTGGGGTAGATGGATCTTAAATACTTCATATTCAGCCATGGAGGCCGGGTACACCTATTTATGAATTCAGATACAAACCGAGTGAAGTTAAAACACAAGTTGTTCATCCACAGGCTCAAAATAAAATCCTGTTCTTTTCTAGCAGTATATAACTTCTTCAAACCAGTGTATGTCAAGAAACCTAAGATACTCTTCGCAACTCCAGTACCTGCCTACACAGTAAAAATTCTGACATTTACCAGAAACAGGGAAAAAGAAAATAACACTCCAAAACTCATGATACCGTTATTTAGGATACAATTTGAAGACTGCCTCTTGGCTCTGCAATACAGACTACCGTAGACGCAAGAACACTGACAGACAGTGATTGACTCCTCTTTTAAAACTACACTGACAGCATCAACCGTTGTTCAATTTGGTATCGGGGAGTGTCAGTAAGAGTGAAGCACAGTTTACCTTACTGCATCATGCAAAATACAGCATCTGTGTTTCCCTGGATTCGCCCCATGAGCGTTCCAAAACGTGCACAACAAAACCACATGAAACTCAGATGATTTCAGATCACGTTACAGAGTCAAAACACAGAACAGATTCACAGAAAGATTTGCTAAGGTTCACCAACCTGTTGAGTGAGCCTGGGCCCACTTCCAAGCAAATCGGGATTGATTAATGTTTTCTTTAAATCAATATCACCTGACGCTCTTTGCTACTGATGTGAATCTCAGCTTTTTCTTTTCTCTTTGGAATTTTGGATTGGTTTAAGTATGGGGCTGAAAACAGCGCATGGAATGCACATCCATCTATGTACTAACGGAAGAGCATGTAGCACCATTTCCTGCAACGCAATGAAATATCGCAGAACCAGCATCCCGCCAGCCTCGTCAGTATTTTGCCCTATTCTTAGCTTTTCGGTACGGGCTACGGGTAGGGCTTTTTTCAAACTGCTCACGCATTTACAAACATAGCGGTAAAGGAGTTCTTTGTGCTTTTCAAACACGGGACCAAATTGAGATACGCTCAGCCAAACGACGAATGGATCCGCTCTCTAATGGACCCCCTGAAATCAAGGGAACTACTTACGGACTAATATAGCATTACCTATTGTGAGTAAGAGCTACTGTAAATAAGCTTTGGAAACTATATTCCAGCTACAGTCGCGCTTGGTGGTTTGTAATATTCCAGCACTTGCTAAATATAACTAAATGAAATAAAGTGGGAGATAGCGATACTCTGATTTCTGTTAGCACTGACTGTACATTTGTTCCAAGTGTCTGAGCAATCAGAACACTACATAAATACCTTGCCATGCCTGTGGGATCCCATGCTAAGTTATAATCCATCACTGAAGCAGGCAGCCGCTCTTGAAGACACGCTGAAGCATTTCTGAGGTTGAATGTAATTCATTGCTACACTCTCTAGTTGCATGTTTATTTCGTCTAGCAGGAAGAAGCGGCTACACGCGGAGCAGTTGTATGCTGGAAATTTCACTTAAAATTTCCATCATATTAAACAATCAGCTGATTAATCTCCTTTCTGTAAGAATTCTTTGTCAATAACCTTTAAATTCAGGAACTCCACCCTGACGCATAGCTTATCTGTATTTATATTTTTATTTGAAAACTGCAGGAGTTTTTAGGATTGAGCCAGGTAAAACCATTCAGATAAACAAGAAGAATCTGTCCCACCGTGCCCTCACTACACACGCATAAGAATACGCATTATAAAAAACCTCTGCTTATCACATAGTTGCTTTACTTATTGTCTTCATTTCTGACTCCTGGTTTCAGACAAACAAAAAACTGAGGAAAATGTTAAAGAACTGCCAAAGATTCTGTTGGAACAGAAAAGGAACGGGAATATTGTAAGACAGACTGTTCCCTCAATTTCTTCTGGCCAATTTGTAGTCCCAGCAGATTTGCACAAACTTTGAACAAGCAGCGAGGCCTGGCAGTGCTGACACGAGCTCAACTCCTCTCGCCTTGTGAAATTCAACCACTGCGACTGCATAGGCAGCCTTGGCAAAACACGGGGAAGATCAACCCAAAAGAAATTTCAAACTGACTGTATTCTTAAGGACAATTTTTGTCAGCAACTGAAAACGCCCCTAGAGTTTCATCGGGGAAGTTTCTAGCAGCTTCATTTTTCCCCTATTTTTTCACATTGCACTGGAGTCCATCCCCAGTGTCCTGAGCTCCTGCTTTTTCCCTTTACTACCAATTTAGATGTCGGTGTGTATTAATAATCTAAAAAAAGGAATCTTTATTGTTCAGGCTGTAAATATGCCACTGGGTCCCCAGAGCCTAACATATGTCAAAGGCATGAAATGACGACCATGAAAGGGAACTCCGCATCTGTGTTTGCTTAGCAGAAGAACTGCAGGACTGACCTGTGGACTGATGTGGCTGTTTAATACGGTCTCTGCAAACCGTTCAATAGCATCAGAACTGCTGTTTAATCCTCTTACCTCTACCATTGACATTATTTCATGTTCTACTAATTCCAACCCATCTGCAGAAGAAATACTTGCTTCTCCGGCAAGCCAATAGAGAGGGCCAAATTTTTTAAAAGGCTGCAGCTATAATGTTCCATGTGTAATTTCAAAACAAGACGTTTTTTCCATCGGAACATTTTTGCATAATCTTACAGTCCGAGTCTCATCTCGCTTTTACTTTTGCAAGTCAGGAGTAAAGGTAATACAAGGTGAGGACCAGAGCCCAAAGCTCCGTGGACCTGAATTTTCTGAAACAAATATCCAAGTATATTTTGAGACTATATCTCCAAAGGTGTTCAGATGCAAAAAACCTCAATTATTTGGCTCTTGGAAGAACGAAGTATATAGTTAGAATAGAAAAAAAAAAAAAGGTGGTATTTGAGAAGCTTCATAGGTATCTATATTTCTACTTTGCAACTTCTGGACCAGTTTTTGCAACGTTCTCCCCTTTCATTTGGATTTCCTACGGAGAGTCTGTGGTAATCATATGAATGGCCACGACCAGGTTTTTCACATGGTGATTCCCAATTCAGTGTGCAACATTACAAAACCCACTTAAAATTACTGAAAAAGAGAGGAGAAAAAGATTTGTTAATAAAACCAGCCTATCTTAATGATTTTCCCACGCATTTCCAGAGAGTCACAAAGAGTGCTAGACCTCCAAGAGGATTCAAGGGAGTGAAAACTTTCTGGTTTTGGAATGAACTAACATTTTTGATGCTGTACAATCATTCTTACCTCTCTTTGCAGCCTCTGAGGAGTCACAATCCATCCAGGAGAATCAATTATTGAATGCAACAGTAAGAGCCTTGCGCTACCATTCGTGTCATGTCACTGTCTTCTGTCGGAGAACACAAGTGGGTCTGAAACCAAAGCAGACACGTAGTGTGAATGAACTGCAAAAAACCAGAATCTTTCAAAATCTGGAACACTGGTTAACACCAATGTCCTGCTCAGAGTATTGCACACCACAGAAACTGGTTGAGGAAAGAATGTTTCTATACACAACGCACTCAGGCTCCCACTAGCACTTAATCCCTCTTCCATCTATGCCAAATTCCAGCTGCAGCCCGTACTCGCCTCCAAAGAACCAGAGCTAATAGCAAAGTAACAGGCATATCTATTGGCTCCTTCGCCAGCATTTCACAACGGGTATCATATGATTAGGTGTTAAGTGGGACTATTTGCACTTTTGCTTATGGCACATATAATTATGTAATTCTGTATAATGCCAAAATGACTGTTTAAGTAGCAGCTGCACAAAACAGAGATACTGGTTGGACAGCACAGAAAATACGATCTTAAATAAAACCGGCACAGTAAAAAATACACACATACACATACATATATATGTATTTATATACCTTCAGGGCTATCTAATGTGAAATCTTTTTATACAAAGGTCACATCAATGGTTCGTAAGCAGGACTCTGCCTCTCTTCTTGCCTATGAAAGTTTTGCCAGTGACAGGTCCAGAGCCTTCACAATACTAATTGTGGTTTGAGAGATCCTTAAAACGAAATGGATGAAACCCCTGGAGTTCGTGATCTCATCCATCAGCTGTTGCTGGTGTTTGTCACGGAGCAGGCTGGCACTAGATGGCTCCCAGTGTTTCAGGTGAGGTGGTGTAGCACGTATTCGTGCACCGAGTTTGCCAGTGCGTTAAAGCTCTGTCTGCAAAGAACCTTATGGGCAGCACAATGGGAGAGATGGGTGCAGGCAAACCGGAAACAGCCACATACTGCAGGGATCCTCCTGGGGAATTAAATGAATAACTGTCCCTGCCGCAAAAAAATAGGGAGGAAGGTACATTTAACTTCCTTTTGTTATTTTTCAGAGGAGGTGTGTCCTAATTTCATGGCACAATAACAGAGCTTCCACGAGCTTTGATTAAAGTAATCACAAAGTATCAAGGTTAGTTAGAAATGCTGTTATATTTTAAAATACAACCTTATAACGATATGGGTAAGGTGGTGGCAGTGGTAGGACTGTGCCACAGAGGCACTCTATAGAGGTCAAAAGGAGATCACCGTTTGTTTAATTTGAATAAATCAATTTGTTAAACAAGGAGCTGCTGAGATTATACAGTTAGAGGGTGGAGAGCAAAGAAAGATAATTATTTTTGTTTGCATAAATCATTTTCTTATTACTTGGGGATCAGGGTGGTATCGTTTGGGTTCGAGAAAAGAGGGCAAAGGAAGATAAGTATATCAATTTGCTGATCAGGGTTACATGGGATTTTGCTGCTGGGGCTGGAGAAAGGAAAGAAGATCATTATTTTTATTTAAATAAATCAATGTGTTGTGATCAGGGATCACATGGGGTTGTGCCGTTTGCAAGGAAGGCATAGGAAAATTCTCCTTTATGGATAGTTAGTTGGAGAACTAATGTTCAGGCACTACTCTATCAAATGGAAAAAGGACAAAAAAACCCTTAAAGACCACACAGCTGGATTGCTGTTGCTTTTTTTTTTTTTGAAAGACCCTGTCTTGGGCATCTTGTATTGGTCTTCGGTTTGAGTTAAAACAATACCTGTTACACTTTTAACACACTTAATCAGGATTATATGTATGAATACGTGTGTGCGTGTGTATAAACCATGTACACAGATAATTAGACAGAAAGATAGCCAGACAGCAGCTAATGGGGCCTGATCCCGCAAAAGCCCTTGTACTTGGAGGCAGCGCCTGCTGCAACTACTGGAAAAACCTTCCCAGGATGTAGGACCAGTCCTCCAGTGGGGAATATTCATTTAAATCAATGGCCATTCTGTGCACATACACTTTAAGGGCCTGATATTTGTTGCTTCTTTTCTGAGGCAATTAATGAAGCTCTGTGTGTAATTTTAAAGGCCCTTCATGAACTAACTGGAAATCTACAGCGCTGAACATCAGTGGACTCATATCCAAAACTAATAGCTTCAGTATCACTGCCAAAAATTGACTAAGCGCTCTTTGTGCCTGCAAATGGGGTTCTGTAGGCAGTATCCTTCTATCTGCCTTCAAGGGATAATCTCCTCTTACAAATAAAACAATTGTTTCATTTGCTCATTGCAATGGTTGAATGAGGCCGCAGAAATGAATTTCACTCGTTTTGAATGTTCCCAAGTCAACCGAGTGAGGATTCGGGGAGTGGGGTCGCTTTCCATTAACATGTGTTGCTATTTGCAAAACCAGTGTAAAAAATGTATTTTCACAGGTTTGGATATGACTCATGCAAACCACTAAGCACACCATTCCTCTCGCTTTACCCAATTAAAACAATGGCTTAAATGTTGTGTAAAAGTATAAATCTGTATCTGCAGCATCAAGGTGTCCCATATATTACCTTGGAGCAAAAAGAAGGAATAGTCCAGTTAGCAATTTAACAAATGAAACAATGTTTAAGTAATTAGAGAACATCGTGGGCCCCAACCATCCCTTGGATGCTTTCAGAGCCAACGGCGTAGTCCAGGGGATGAGTTTGCGTTTGTAACAAGAATGATAAATCTAACTAAACATCTTTATTTTTACAGTACCTTAAAGAAGCATTTTTATTTAGTGTAGTCATATATCTCCACATTATTTTGAAGTATGCTTCTTTATTGCTTTTACGTCTTCAGAATTGCCTGAGGAAAGCATCCTTTTCTCCCTGTGTTTCATTGTTGTTACCCTTGTAGAGTATAACATGCACAAACTTGATTATGATTAATTGAGGGCCCTGGCAAATTATGTTTTTATTCCTTTCCATCTAAGTCTTCCATCTGCTCAAGGAAAAAAAAAAAAAAAAAAGAGGAAATTTTACATTTATAAGGACACTTAGGGCTTTCTGGGTAAATCATCAGAACAACTTGTTCAGCTGTAATGGCTACAAGTGAAGAAAGTCTCCCTTCACTCTTACATCACCAACACATTAATGCATCTCCGTCCTACGAGTAAGGCCGAGAGACGATGGTAACTGGTCAAACCGCATTTGATCCAAAAATCTTGCTGCGGAGCTGGAATTTCAAACTGAATCAAACCAGTTGAGAATATTGCTCAATTAGATCCTACCACCGAAGAACCACTTAAAGCAGCTAAGTACCAAGTCGGTAAATATAAACACCTGTGTCCTTCGGCACAATGCATGTAGCATCAGGCACGCTATTTATAAGAGGCTCTGTTGAAGTTCTTACCCAAGGTGATGCAGCTGCATATACCAGCCCATTAAGCCTGGTGTACCACATCAGATAAGGCCCTTCCTCCGGGGTTTATGATTCAGGTCTAAACGCTTGCCGTCCCCGGGAAACTGGCAAACGAGGTTGCACTTGGCAGTCTGGGGTTTTCTTAATAGGATGAATGACAGAAGCGAGAAGCCATGTTTAACTCGTACGAATGGGAGGAGGGAAAGGCAGGGCTTTCTCATTTAAAGACAGCCTTGTTCTCCAGCCGTGTTAGTGCACAGCACAGAGCGGCGCCTTTGGCTGATGAGAAAGCAAAATTATCGAGGAATTTGCTCCTCTGAGACCGCAGAGTTGAAATAACAAAATGCCAAACAATTTTAGCAACCAGAATGCAGATACAATCGGTCTTTAAAAGGCTGGTCTGGACAGCTGGTGGCACTGGGACAGGGGCTGTGAATTTAGGACAAGGTCAACATCAGTGGTGTTTTTCGTTTTCAGCCAATAATGTGAATTGAGTTGTTGGCGTAGGGCCAGGCCCCTGCGAATAACGCTCCAAACGACTAACGCCACACCACTCTTCTCGGTCCACCACTGAAGAAGACAGGTTAAATCTGCATGCCTTACGCTGACGTGACCTGTGGAGCACTGGTGTGATCTGTTACTGTAAATCAGCTGTAAAGGTGGTGACTCCAGCGGGAGGGATAACGATCATCACCAAAGACAGGCGTAAGTGTGGGTCCAATTGCCTGCAAAGATGACATCTGATGACTAGCAGGGAAGTTACTGCAGCGTTTCCACGCACAGGTGGACAGAGTTGAGGCTGACTAAGTGCCAAAACACAAGGACTCTGTGGTTCAACTGAACCAAACTAGATTTAGAGGTAGATACAGAAGCTACGCTTCCTCTGCCAAAGTTTGCAAAAGATGCTTGTCAAAGACGTATTGACAGCAATGCTGTACAACCTCTCAGCAGCATGCTGAAGATTAAATTCTTTGGTAGTCTCACAGTACGTGAAGAAACTACTTTGTGTAGGAGATGGGTTTTTGTAGCAAAACCAATTCTGTGGAAAGGGCAATATGGACGAAGAGTCCTCCATGGCAGAGTGAACAACATACTGAGCAACAGGTAAATGCCACCTCGCTGGTAATAGAGAGTCACTGCCCATGCTACAAGAGAAATCACCAGCAGTCACTGCTTAGCAAGAAAGGATGTTCTATTTATCAAGTCCAAAAGGGTTTTATTCCCAGTTGAGCCTCCCTATATGTTGGCCAAGTCACTTCAGCATTCTGGTTTCCAGGTTCACAAAACGGAGAGGCTGCATTTACCCCCCACTGCACAGGGATCTTAGTAGGAATGATCCAGCAGAGACTAAACTTTTCCAGTGATATGTATGGCCTTTTCCTGCTGTAATGACACAGCTGGGCTGAAAATGAGGGGTGTCTGACGACTTCACCCCTCCAAGAAGCGATCCATACACCTCCAGGCCCAAGCAGAACATCACACAGAAGAGCTGGTGAGTGATCTGGTGACAAAGCTACTGGAATCTATGGTCAGAAACCCCTGGAAACATCATCCCAGCTTGCTATGGGGACTACTACAACACAAGCGTCCTGCTGCAGTCCTCCTCCCCTCCCTTTGCTCACACATCATGTATACACAAGGGCACCAGAGTTAATTCAGTCTTCTGTGGAAAGCTCTGCATGAAGCCTCTTTAATTGGGCTTTGTGCGAGTGTGTGAATCTCATCCTGATACTTTCAGGGTACTCGGGGAAACATTAGAATGGCAGCACAGCAGAAACGGAAAAAGCATTATCATTCATTGGCAGCAAATAATTTATTTGATATCCGCCATCCTTTTTTTTTTTTTTTTTCCCTGCTGGCTGTGTTTGTGATTGTAATTTCTGAAGAGTTTAGCTAATAATTATTGGTGAGAAGATGCTGTCAGTCTCTCAAGACAAACAAGAAATGGTTCCGGCTGACACAGATTGTGTGTCACATGATTATCCTATTTTTCTGATTTAATAAATATTAATCTTTCTGCCTTTTAGGAGCATTGTGCAATATTTTTTTATCATCTGATTTGAGATGGGAAATGACCGGTACATGCCAAAACTACTCCTAATATATAAAAAGGCAAATTTTCCTTGTTTCATTTCAAGACAAGACATTTTTCAAATTAAAATTAATATGCACATAGATTATATCTTCTCTTACACAAATCCATGCAAGATGCTATTTAGGGTGTGCCTTTTTTCCTAACCACAAATTCTTCTAACATCAGATAACGAGATTTATCGTTATATTCCCATTTTATCTCCTCAATTTTGCCTAGTGGGAAAGCGTACAGGAGACAGGTGACCCCCCCAAAAAACTGTAGAAACTGATCTTACATCAAGGCCCTTGGCAGAAACTCAGACGATCTCTCGGGAGTCGCCAGCCTCGCCGAAGATTTTCCTCACTGCCTTGAGCAAAGTGC